ATGTATATTTTACAGCATTAGTTGAGAGATTTTTTTTTCCTTGAGAAAATTTGGCATGTACTGTACCTGATATATATCCAAAATAATCGATATTGAATCGAATCGAATCGGTAATCGAATCGAAAGCTTGTGAATGAGAATCGAATCGAATCGTGAAATTTGTGTCAAAACCCAGCCCTAGTATCTCATAGCTTAGGAAGACAAAACTGAACTGATCTGAGACCTGACTCACCAGAGGAGCAGAAGACTCTGAGGACCCAAAGACAGGCTGCGGCTCTCCGGGCGTTCTCTGTATTCTGCCGCAGCAAACCCAGAACCACCAGAACTGCATCTGCCTTCTGTGCTTTCAGACCAATCTGACGATCTGAGGCAAATAAGAAAATTACGTTTCTCTTTGACATTCATAAAATGTACATTTGTAATGTCTTGTTCTGACAGTGTTTTGCTCACTACAGGGATCTGGGAAGGCAACATTTTTGAGCTGTTGGCAGCTGCGATGAAACAGTTTGCTTTGGTTTGAAGATCAAAACCACATTCACTGGGATGTCTAATAGGGAAATTGGGATATCAAAGGGACATCATCACTTTCGAAGTCAAACACTAAATCAGATTCATTCTAAGTGTTAACACAAGCACTGGAGTGATACACGAGACCAACTGTTTAACATTAACAAAATCATAATGTGCAAATTTACACTAATTGTGCAAAATTCCTTAGTAAATAAATCAATAAAATAATAAATAAATAATGCACCAATATAAAAATTCTGGAAGATGCAGAAAAGCCAATATTTTTTTTCCATTTTATGGCAGATAACATTTGGATGATATTATAATTCTATAGGAATTTGCCTAAGAAATTAAAATAAAACATTAAAAACTAAAATCCTTTGTTTTAAATGCTACAAGTGAATTAAGGCATCACATTTTAAAATGTACAAAAAAAATTTAATTTTGAAAATGACTAAAGATTATATTTAAAAGTGTTATTAAATTATTAGTGTTTTTAAAGATTTAAAACTTTAAATAAGGATCAGATTATGACAATCTAAATGTACATGCATGCACTATTAAATATCCATATTATAATTGATACATATAACATTGGAAAATAAATTTAAAAAAATAATAATAAATTCATTCTAATGTGGTATATACATATACTGTGCATTTATTTAAACAAAAATCCAAATTTTATCAAAAGTCACTTTTTCAACCCTCTCCTCCAACTACGTCTCATAGAGGCAATTTTTCCACAATCAATTTCCATTAAATAAAATCCAACCGATTTTTCCTGTTGATTATCAGTCACTTGTCACATTAGGGAAGTCAAATGGGTTGCAAAAGCCACTTCATGTTGCACTCAAAAGTAACTTTATCTCTTATTTGAGGCCTGAAAGCGAATTAATTGCAATTGCATAATCAGTATTACATTTTCTCATTTGGTGTTCCACAAAAGAAAAGTCACACAGATTCAGAACAACAAAACAATGAGTAAATGATGATAGTATTTTCACGTTTTGGTGAACTATCCTTTTAAGATGAGAAAAAGCAGAGTAATGAAAACGCTGTAGGATGTTACAGTATTGCCATACAGTACATCAACTATTTATGGATCTGGAAATCAACTCAGATCATTTCACCACTTGAAACAGACAATGATCTCCGCTATGTAAATGCAAATGGATTATTGAAAACTCAGTGTGGGGTGGAAAATGCTGTCCGTAAAAACCCACCGCCCAGAGCGGAATGCTACAGAAACCATTCAAACCCAACATCCTGCAGGCCCACCATGACTACAGGCGCTTACAAAAACAGCTTGAGCACAAAAAAAAAAAAAAAAAATCCCACTAGCGAATGAGTTTATGTTCTCAACAGATGGAGTTTGTTTTTAGACGTGTTTTGTCTAAATGGCAAAGGGAGACGTGGAGATGAAGGAAAACATGCCCTGCTGGTTTGACTCAGCCTGTTGCCGGGGTTCATTGGGACAGACATCAAAGTGCAAGGGTGGAACGCTGACAGACATGAGATCCAGCGAGGGATCAAACTCTCGCTCCTTAAGTTACACAACATCTAAACACTGACCGTGCTTGTGCTCAAACGGCAACCTCTGACCCCTCAGGATTGAGGGCTTTTACCTGACCCGACAGTGACCCTGCACATGCTGTCTGCACCCTCAGACGAGATGTGACTTACGGGCATTCTGCACATTAGAGATGTCTATTTTTGGCGAGGTGCTATTTATAGCAATCCAGCAATGAACTCCGAAATACTCAGCACTAAAGATGATTAAATTATAAATCATAATGAAAAATACGGCTGTCTCCTGCAGTGTGAGCCACTTAAAATGAAGAGCTGAAGAGGAAACGTGAAATTGAATTGAGTTGAAATAATTTGAGGACACTACACTGTCTCTTAATCAAGTTTCTGGAGCCAGTTATTTAGTTTTTTTGGTCCACACCGAAAGCTGAAATGTTGGGCGAAATGACAATCACAGCCAAATCAGAACATATTTCACAATTAAAGGACTATTTCAGCTAAAATGGAAATTCTGTCATTACTGTTTATGCATCCTCATGTTTTTCTAAACCCATATTCTACTATTTTTTTAAATGGAAATGTTAAATAATATTCAAGCGGATATTTTATGTTACGAGCTGAAATTTAAGTCACTATTCATTATTCATTGTGACAGTTAACTGAAAGTATTAATTTTTATGTCACTTTTCTGTGACAAAGCTGAAATAAAACAAATATATGACATAAAAAAACTTGAAATAATTAAATTAAATATATGAAATAAAAAAGATGTAATATAAAAAATTAACAGTATTAATATAAATATTTAAAACGGACTGAAATAAGTCGAAGTACTAAAACTACAAAAAAAAAAAATTAGAAATAAATAGAAATATTAGATTTAAAATGCTTACATTTTGGAGGTTATATAAATATATTAATTTAAATATTTATGAATTAATATTACATGAATGGTGCCTTGACAACTAATTTGAAATAAGTTGAGGTACTAAAATTATTAAAACTAAAACTGAAAAAAAAAAAAAAAGCAATCTTTTAAATAAATGAGTAAAAAAGACAGAAAGATAAAACTTAAAACTTAAATGAAATTAAAATTCGAACTGAAAATAAAAAATCTAATTAAAAATATTATTTAAATACTATAATTGTATAAAAATAATACTAAAATAATACTGTTATTTGCATTTGAGTTGTTTTGAGTAGCTCAGAGAATCGGTTTACCCGTTTTGGTCCCACTTTATATTAATGTAGCACTTACATAGTAACTAGATGTGTACATAGTATATAACCCACAGTGTAAGTACACATTGGTGCATAGTATATACAGCTGTAATGTTTGTGTAACTACACATACGTAACAACCCACTGAATGGTATGTGTAAATACAAATGTGTAACAGGACATTGGTAACAACACTTTTTGGTAATGAAAGTACAAATGTGTAACAGGACTAACAGCACTTTTAGGTAAAGAAAGTGTTACACTTTATATCAAGTAAACCATTCCTATGGATTTACCATGTAATTACTCTGACGTTACACAGCAGCAGCCAGTAAGTTAGGCTTTACATATAAAGTGGAACCGAAAAAATAAAATAACAAAAATGTTGCCAATCATTTCTTTGTCTCCTCCCCTTCTCTCCTAGCCCCTCCTCCCCATCACTCACCTCGGTAGCCCACCTTGGCCAGCAGGTGCAGCAGCGGCAGTAGGATGGTGTAGTTGGGCGTGAAGCTGCAGGCTGAGTTCACCAGAGTCGTCAGCAGAGTCTCGCTGCCTCCTTTCGATATCATATGATGAATCCGTCTGTCTGTGCCTACAGGAAACAGCCGCCATCATTTCACAAAATGTCAAATTTAGGCTGATAACAACTCGTACGACAACCGGTGGTGCCATCTTTGCCACTGGCGTATTATCGCAATATGATGTCTGGGTTTATTTTCGACTTTCTTCAGAACTTATGAAAATTCGTGCTGATTAGAACTTTGTGCTGGAGGCTGGTGAATAAATTTAGCTAATTACTTTGCAGTGAATTAATTTCAGATTACAAGATTAGTATAGTACTGTTCCACCTCTACAAGAGTATTATTCGATAGATTTGTTGGTTAACAATAGACAAGAATAAGGCCAAGATATGGAAATAAATAGCACTGAAACAGCTCACTTCATATAATTAGATCCTGGGAGAAATGTGCATTGACGTCATGTCTCCTTTCACCAGTATTTTCAACACTATTAAGACTGCTTTAAAAGATTTGGTTTTGAAGTTAATGCCTCTGGATTATTGCAGATTTTCATGTCTTTTTTCCCTGTGTTCTCAAGTTCTCTTGACTTTAATCAAGTACATTATTTACATTTGTTCATTTAGCAGATGCTTTTATCCAAAGCGACCTACAAATGAGGAAAAGGTGATTCATTACAGTTTCTTCACACTGAGGCACAAACTGAAACGTGCATGAAAAGTATATGAATGTTTTCTCAGCTACAAGCATTTTTGGCCCTGTGATTAATTTAACCGTATTATCTAGCAGAAATAATATTTTACAATTCTTTAAAAAAGACTTCTTTGTCTTGCTAAACTTAATTTTATACCTAGCATTCGGTATATTATAAATACGCACAAGTAAATAATGTTTTTACACATTATGCATGTTTGTATGTTTGGAAATGACAGACCAAAAAAAAAAGTGCTATTTACCTCAATTTTTTTTTCTTTTCTTCATTGTACATCTCATCTTTAATCTCAACCGTGCTCTTAAATGATGCTGTTGTCTCCTTAATAACCAAATAATACAATAATTCTGAAAAAAACTTTACTAGGGGCAAACATGTTGGTTGTGATGGAAATGACACCATGATAATTTTTGTACAATAAATATTAAATTGACCTGTGTTTATTTCACTCAGTTTAGATGATCATATTTTAAAATAACAATAACAATAATATATTTTATGATATATTTTCCTGTTTTAAGATTGAAAGTCTTAATGAAACCTAAATCAATCAAATAAAGAAAATATTTCAACAATAATTTAAAGAATGTTTTTAAAAATATTATATATAAATATTATACAAATAATATATTAACTAAATATTTAAATATTTCAACAAAAGTTTAAATATATATATATATATATATAT